ATTTTCTGTGCCTGTGTTTGTGCCACAGCAGAATGAAATATGGACATTGTTCACCCATAGTGATGGTGCTTTGGTTCCTTGGCCTGTCAGGAAATAGCCCCCCATTTCTGTTCACAGACAAAAGCAAGGCACAGCTCTTCCCAAGAATATTCTGATCTCATTTTCTGTGCCTGTGTTTGTGCCAAAGCAGAATGCAATGTGGAGATCTATTCTTTATGTACTAAAGAATACAGAAAGGATACTTACAGAAGGCTAAAAAGATAATAATAAAAACTCTGACTCTTTTCAGAGCCCTGACACAGCCTGACCCTGACTGGCCAAAGAGTCAAAACAATTCACATGAAGCCAATGGAACAATCACCTGTTGGATAAACAATCTCCAACCACATTCCAAAGCAGCAAAACACAGGAGAAGCAAATGAGATAATTAATTATTGTTTCCCTTTTTCTCTGAGGCTTCTCGGCTTCCCAGGAGAGAAATCCTGGCAAAAGGGATTTTTCAGAAAACGTGAATGCCACCCCTGGTGCCAGATGTGGTGCCAGAAGGAAGGGACACCAATCACTTGGGTTTTTAACGGGTTTTCTTGGATTTTGTAGCACAAAATCCCTAAACCTTCAGGGAAACTGAAGGAGAACAGAGGAGAAAGCTCCTTTTTCCCTTGTAAGGGAACATCCATCAGAAACATCCCTGGGAATCCAGAGCAGGAGCCTCTTTGCACCATCTGGCCCTGGGACATTGTGTCCATGCTGAATTTCATCCCGTGCCTGCATTAGCTCACTTTGACTTGTCCTCACGGATCTCTCTGACCTCTGGCTTCTCCTCCTCTCCGGGCAGGAAATGGGGATATTTTGTCCTATGAAGATGCAAACCGAGCCATGCAGATGGGAGTTTCTGGAATCATGATTGCAAGGCAAGTGCCTGTGTTTCCCTTCATTCCTGAGCTCTGGTGGTTCCAGAGGGGGGGAAAAAAATAAAAAGAGGATTAAAAAAATCCCTAAACAAACCCAAAGCATGGAATTTCCTCTCAGTGAAACCACCCTGAAAATTGGAGAAATCAGTTTGTATCAGTTGGAATGGAAAAGAAGATTTAAAGCAGAAATCAGTGCTGGGAAATGTCTCAAATCTTCAGGAGCATCAGTGATGGGAATAAC